TGGACTTTGCCCTGAATGTGTGTGAAAGGGTGAATGTGGCACGTAGTGTAAAAGTGCTTTGAGTGGTTGGAATACTAGAAAGGCGCTATACAAGTACAGGTCCATTTACCATTTAATTTTTAAATTAGGATCCCTTGGGAACAGAGGGATCTGCATAGAAAGAACCAAACAAAAGACTGAAGACACCATGAACTCATCCAATATTGCCTGATCAGTCTTTTGGGACAGGATCCCGGGCTGGACTTAAAGCCAAGCAGAATAACTATCACTGTTAAACACTGCAGAGAAAGGCAGTAAAGCAACGACACTAGAACAACAACTTTCCCTCAAAGTACATGTAGTCGGAGTTGTTATGCATTGTTTGTAAGCCAAGCATAACAACAATATTCTGGGTAAATGAAATGAGGAGTTAGAAAAAAAATTACATATGAGCTCTCCAGCTCCTTCCCATCCACCGCGCATGTAAAATACATACCTGAGCGTACGGCCATGCCAGTGCACAAGCATGCAAACAACCAGGGAGAACCCCTACTATACAAAAACTAAACATATCAAACACAGTAATGAGACATAAGATACTCATATTGATCGTTAACTATCTGAAACAGCATAGGATGTGATCATATGTTACCTTCCAGGTTGGATAAAAGTACAGTCAATTCTCTGGCTCCGTTGTTGGGATGACTCTTTTCTTCACATAGTCCATAGCTTCAGTAGCATCCAAAAACTCCTCCTCATTGTTGTGGGAAATGCAAAATCTAGCAGGGAAGAATATTTCAAAGGGGATACCTGGTCTCCCCTGCAGCATCTTCCTGACATCTGTAAAAGCCGCTCTGGCGACATTGACCGTGTAGTCTGGGAATACAGGAATTGAATTTCCATCGTATTGGAGTCTGCCACCTGGTTTACGGGCCTTTCTTAGTATGGCCATGGCGTCTCCTCGTTGTGTAGTTTCGAGAGGATTACGCAAGGCCTGTCCTGTTTTGCAACAGCTATGGGAGAGCTGGACCCTGGCTGCTCGGCGACTCCAGTGATCCGAATATTACCTCTCCTCATTCACCCCTCTGAGTCCTCTCACTTTTCTCTTAGATCATCCACCAACTTCTCAAGGTCTTTTACTGTGCGTTGTGTTGATACGACCTCGTCCATACATGTTGATAGTCCCTCCTCGACCGCTCCGACATTAGATGTGATGTCCATGGTCGGTGTGTTCGCGGGGGCGGGCATAGCTGGGGTTGCGTTACATGGACTCTTACCCTAGGAGGTGTTGGGCCTTGTGGTTGACAAGCCGTATTTATAATTTTGAAGGTTTGATGCCATCTACTTCGCTTGGACTCACTTTGGGTCCTCCTTGAATGAACTAAAGAAGTGCTTGCAGGCTGTTAAATGTAATTTGTAAGTTGGATGTCATTTAATTATGGAATTATAAACTATTCTGCAGGAGCTGCGAGTTATGCGTCTTACTCCATCAGTTGCTCGCTAGTGCCCCCAGTAACAGCACTTTGATGTCTTCAGTTGCCATATTGTTTGATTGTGTTTAGGTAGTCTGTTTTTATGTTGCCTTGCCATAAAAATGATCTCCTCTGGTAGGTAAAAAAATCAGAGATGACCTGAACTGAACTGAGCAAGGAAACCCCAAAACAGCACTATAAAATCTTACACAGAACACATCAGACTCCATTTCATGGGTGCAGTGTTTCATCCAGGGATGCTGGAAGTCAGTTAGAGTTGGGAGTGGGATTAAAAAGTCTATCATTATAATGACGTCATACTAAAAGATAAATGCATGACATTCATGGTTTTTGCAGTAATTTGAATTGCCATCATTTATAGACTATTTAATACTTAAATGGACTGTACTTGTATATTGCCTTTCTAGTCTTTCAACCTTTTACACTACATGTCACGTCCACCCATTCACACACTGATGGCAGAGGCTGCCATGCAAGGTGCCAACTACTTATCAGAAAGGGAAACTAAGGGCATTTACATACGTTCACACACCAATGCACAGCCTCTGGAGCAATTTGGGGTTCAGTATCTTGCTCAAGGACACTTTGACATGCAATGGAAGAGCCGGGATTGAACTGCGAACCTTCTGATTAGTCGACAACCCACTTTACCTCCTGACACAGTGGCCCTTAACAACACAATGTATAACATTTTAGCTGATAAATAATTTAAATAATTTGCACTGGCAAAATACACTTTCACATTCACGTTCATTTAAGTATGTATTTAAGTATAAGACATTCCTGGTCTATTTTTTCTTGCTTTTTCGGTCTTTTGTTTGCAGTCATCCACTTACATTGTACTCTGTGACAGAATGCGCCATGTTTGGACACTCAGGAAAGGGGCATTAGAAAAAGTCAGTGCATGCCAATCCAACCATCCTTAAAGAGGATCATGGCACATGTAAAATCCTCGATCAGCCAAGACACAATGAAGGATCTGATCAGGATTCATGATACAGTCTGGATAGAAGACTTTAATACCAGGGAAATTGCACAGCAGGCACAGGATACAAGGGTCTAGAAGGTCTAAATCAGGATCATTGCACGCCTTAGAAAATAGCTTAAAAAGAACTGCTTCAAAATATGATTAGCACATGTGCAGATTACATACAAGGTCAATGCAAATATGAATTGGGTAGTGGTAATGGCGAGAAATGAAGTTTTATAACTAGGTTCGGGAATAGAGACCACGCCCTGCACTCATCTCATTTCCGCTCAATACATACTTAAGCACACCTTATCCGTTCACTCCCTCCTCATTTTCCACATGATCCAACTTTCCACGCATTTCCAGGAAAGCACCACTCTTCCTCGTCGAGCTTCACTGCTGCTTCCGGGTTCCCAATGGCATCACGGCCCAGCCGTCCTCATTAGCCCTCTCAGAGGGCCAGGTTGTATCTAACCCAGTAGCTGCCATTTCGGCTTCACAAACACAGGCATCCCTCCATCCCAGCATCCTTGACCCTTCTCTCATTTCTAACTTCCCTGTCCTATCTTCTTTGGCTGCCTCCGCTCCTCCCATTCCAACAACGACCTTCTCAGCCGCACAGAGCGTGCTCCCAGCCAAAAACCCAAATTCTTATTTATATTCATTTAACGCACCTCCTTTTAGCTCCACATTGCCCAATCGTGGGCTTTTCCACCCATCGTCCAATGGATAATAATTTCACTTTAGCCTCCGCATTACCTCCAGCACACCAAATCCTCCCTATCATCCCCTGTGTCACCACTCTCAGACGACAGATTCTTGCCTCTCACTACATCGACATCGCCATTTAATTTAACTGAACAGCTAATAGTTTTATTTCAGTCAACACTGTAACATTACTTTACAGACGTGTATGTGTCGACCTTGCCATTCAATACATTAGTCCACATGCAACCCTTATATCCACAGAGAACCGCTAACCGTACTCAGTTCAATAGAATGCAAACAGCAACTTGTGGCAAAAATCAGGGAACTTACAGGGGCTCATTAGATCCAGAACTCTACCACCGTGCTCTTCCCTAAATCGCAACCAACGCAGTACGGTGCCCCATCCCATCCCACCACAACACACACCTTCCCAGCTTCTTTGCCTCAAACCTTACCTCAACAGCCCGCCTAAGCATCCGAATACACCAATAAATATCAACGCTCTCGCCACTGCCTCGAAGAACCACCCAAATTGACAGTTCGTTAACCACCTCATATAAAGATTTACACACAGTCTTTAATTTAGGTTTACAGGGGACACCAGATTCCTCCTACATGCCACAACTTACAGTCAGCCACTTCCGAGCCCAACATAGTTGATAAATTCCTGGATAGAAAAATTAAAGACGCATTCACGATCAGCCCAATCCTCAGTTCACCGTTCCCTACATTCAGAATCAGTCCAACCCACGTGGCTCGACGAACATGCCACACCGGACTATGCATACAAATCAATGTGGACATTGGATTTATGATATCTCTACAGGCAATAATTATTACGTAGTGTGTTCAACATCTTAAAGGTTCTAACAGGTTACTCTAGCCAAGAAATTAACCAGACCCTTGGGGCTTACTATACAAGCCACTAAAGATAAACCTAGCAACTACCAAGTGCCAAGATCAATAAGAGAAGAGCTGCCGTGAACAGACGTGGCTAGTGTGGTATTCGACTCTAGGACTATTCAGTCAGGTGCTGCACTGAGAAAGCAGGGTAAGCATCCGGATGAAGGCAGTAAGAAGCTAGGCGTGTCTCCTCGCCACCAGCTTAAACAGTCCTCTGCTGAGACCTGGCAGGGTAATACCCACAGACTAGAGGATCGGACCCTTTGAACAGAGAGCTGGTCCAGTACCACCTATACGGAGGTAACTCGGGATCTAACAGAGCATATCTCACTTACATCTGTTACAACCTAAATGATATCAAAACGCCATGTTTACAAGTCGATTCGAAGTCTCTTTGGGGGCTCTCTACAAGAGATACGAAGAGACAGCTCCCCCACTCAGAGTCTCACAACCCATTGGTTCATCCATCAGGCAACAAACCTTCATTTCTCGACCTTCATTCCTTGTCCTTCATTCCTCGTCCTTCATTCCTCGACCTTCATTCCTCCATCCCTCAACCCTCGACCCTACCTCCATCCCTCAACCCTCATCCCCTCATCCCGCAACCCCAACCACATCCCTTTATCCCTCATCCCTCAGTATACCACATCGGTTCACATTTGTTTATTATGTGCAATAAACTTTTCTTATTTCATACATTCATGAAGTGGTCTTTTGTTGTTGGATTTGAAAATATTGATTGATATTGCAATTTGTTTGCGTGTAAGTTTGCATTACTCAACCATCAGTACCATGATCACCAGCTGACATCTTGGTGCCATGACACAAACTTCCATCTGAACATGAGCAAAACATTTTTTGGAGAAACAGAAACCAAATGGATTTTGGTGTAGATCATGGACAACATCAGAGCAACATCTGTAGAGCAGCACTGGCAGGCTCCTTACCTCTGCATACTGTACCATTCTCCACCGCTTCGTACCCAGCTTTGCACATGCAGCGCCCAATGGGTACCATCCACTCCCCATCTCCATTACAGTACAGCTTGATAGGTACATCCACCTCCTCCCCATTGGGAACACACACCCCTCTGGCTGCCACCAGAGAAGTGCTCTCTGCTCCAGACAGAGTCTCAGGAAAGACAGCTCCATTCTGGATCACACTGGGACACTTCCTGTAGTAGACTCGAACAGCAATAAGTGACATGCAGGCGCCATAATCCTGGAAAGCGAGGTAGAAACCATTGCGTGAAACAGGTCCAAAACCACGAACTTCACTGTTGATCTTCATGATGCGGCCACCAAGGTCAACTTGAGAGAAGCTCTCATCAGCTGCTATAGTGTCCACTTTCACCCAGGGGTTCTCCATCCAGGATGGGGATGATTTAGTGGCTGTGTCTGAGTCCGACTCATAGTAGTACAGGTTGAAGGTTTCCTTGCAGGAGCCAGGGACGTTGGGTATGGAGCTGCAGTCGCGTACCGAGAACTTCATCTGAACATGGATGCGCTGAGCCCCATGGCGGCGGATGTATTTGGTGCGTACCCAGTTGTTCTGGCTGCTATCGAAGACATTGCACACCTGGTATGTTCGGATGGTGTTCATGTTTTCATCATAGCCGCTAACTTCTTCCCACTAGAACACAGACAACAAACAGAACCACTGATACAGTGACACACCACAAATGTGCAAAAACAAACAGTAACAGTTCTTCTTACAGGTCCTCCAGCCCTTTCAACAAAAAGTTACCACTATGACCATTATGTGCTGTGGGTAAAAAGCAACTTAACAGCAGTGGAAATTCTTGTTTCTGCTGACCTCCAGTGGTATAACTTCCAGTCCTCAGTTAGAGCTTTGATCTGGCCCAAAAAATTATGCCCAACCCGACCCAAGCCTAAAACCCTGACCCTAACCCGGCAGGTTGCGAACACAGCCGGTATGTGCAACACACTTTGAACCAGAGAAGGCAGTGAAACATGACATTTCAGCTGAAAAGGCAATAGTTATGCAAAGATTGTAGTAATGCTTTAAAGAAACCAATATTGGCTGTTTGTGAGAGACAAGATGACCAATCATTCTGGCAAAGACACATCAGTTTTGGATGGCATTTTTGGAGATGTATCATCACTGTTAGCACAAAAATGTCACCACCAATAATTGTGATGTATTTACTGTATTTATTATCATATTGATTCTATTTATTATCTCACACCGATGGACTTTTATGTCCTGTGTATTTACTGTACTACAAACTTATTAACTGCTCTGTGTTTGTTTTTTGTCTGCCTGCAATTATTTCTTGTTGCAATCACTGTAAAAAAAAGTAAAACTGTACAGGAGCTGAAGACCAGCTTGGAATTCACTCAACATTAGGGGCGTTTCCAGACTTTTTTGACTGATGCAGCACAAGTGTAGCAGTACTTAGTTTTAGGGATGCACAATATGATTTTTTTTTTTCAGCCAATATGATAACCGATAGTTATCTGCTTCTCATGACGAAAATGACGGATAATTCCACATTTTGTATTTTAAAAAGAAAGTTCATAACATGAAGCTTGCATTGCAACTCAGCTCCTAAGCTTCCCTCTCCTAGCATAATAAGATAAGACAGCAGCATTGGCTGCAGTTTTAATTGTCTACATTTATGTTACCCTCACTGCTTAAAACACAATATAATACCATTCTGCTCTACTTATCAATTGAGACATTCTACACCTGCCTTTTTTTCTTTTCCTGTAGTGTCTAAGTCAATAGCTTAGAAATCCTTCATGTTTAAACTCCCTCCCTAAGCTTCAGCCCAACCCAATCTGTAAAACCTGAGACAATAGTGTCCCTGAACTTGAAATCAGAGCATCAACACAAGTTGTTCCATGGACAGTGAGATACTGAGTCATGGTCCTTTCGTTTGATACATTTCAACCAAAATCTGATGTGTGTGCTGTCAATCAAAGGATGTTCATATTTTTGAGTGAAGCCACGACAGCTTCTATAACATTGTAATACAACAATTGTAAATATATGTTGGCTGCATGTTTTACACAATGTTCCTAGTGTCTTGCTTTGTTCCACCCACCCCCTGTGATGGGAAGATGGTCCAACCCAGTTCTGCTGTTGCTGTTGTAGAATCCATTAGTACCTCTGCAGAAGACAAAAATAAGGTCAGAGTTATAAAACATATTTTAATATTAAAATCAATATTTATAACATGATAAACAGTTCTAAAATGTAGCATTAATGTATATTTATGTTATAATTAATAATTAAATTAATTAAAACTGAATTATCATGTTATTTTTTATTTTTTTTTATTTTGTGGTCCTCCAAAGATCACATCCACAATGAAGAGATCCCCTACATGTATTAAGACATATATACAAATAGTCTTTGTAAAAATAATGTCTGATATGTTTTTTACGCAAAAAAAAAAAGTATAATTTCCTACTCCTTCTACCTGATCAAAAATGGAAAAATTCCACAATCGATGAATAAACAAATGTTGTTAATTTCTTAAGTTTTCCTGCTGGATACAAGATGTCTCCTACTTCACTGCAATGTCCATTGTCAGTGGATGTGCACTGTTGGCTTCAACTTTCTACATCGCACTGTACAAGTTGCATACTGAACCAGGACTGACTTCTGAACTAATTGTGGTGTCACAAAATGCTTGTAGCCCCGCCCTTGAAAATCATATTTTCAGTGAGCAGAGAAACTTTCCACTTCCAGATGAATGTGAAAACATTACAGCTATATGTTTACAGCTAGATGGAATTAATTATTTGTCTAGCTGTAAACATACAGCTAGACGGAAATTTATTATTTGTTCCGCCCAAGTGTTTCAAGGCGCTCGGGTGAAGCTTTGAAAATTTGCCAGCGAAAGAGAATGCTGTTTCCACTGTTGTTGTCGTAATTACATGAGTTAACTTATGTACTCTTCGTGATAAGCAGCAATGAGGTTTGTTGGCTGTCTGCTGTGAAGGTGTTATTGATTATTGTGTTTACATGTGTCATTTTCGGTTTATTCAATCAAACTGTAAAGTGTCTAGCTGTATATATGCTTGGTTGGTTGATTATAGCACAAGATGTATGAGACATGCATACAGCATTATTTTTGTTAATTTATTTTTTCTTTCTTTAACCCGTTCTCATGGGTTGACCAGCAATAAAGCCCTGTATTTTAATCAAGACCTCTTGCCTTATGCCTGTCACTGGAGGAGCTATACGTGTTGTTGCTAATTTGACGATGTCTAATTGTGCAGCTAACAGAACTAACTTCACATTATACTTTTTTTGTCCTAATAATGTTCAACATGATTTGTATTTATGAAATAGGAAGAAATGTCTAGTGTCTTTAGTGGTAGTATTATGATTGTTGTATTATGAAAATATGATCTGTGCAACATGATCAGGACCCCTACGTGACAACAACATGCCTTTTCAACTCATACGTTGTGCAGAAACTGTACAAAACAGTACTGTCGCCTACATGTTTTTCCACTGCTCGCTTCACCGAAATGTGGCACGTAGTGTAAAAGTGCTTTGAGTGGTCGGAAGACTAGAAAGGCGCTGTACAAGTACAGCTCCATTTACCATCCATTTAAGTCTTAACTGTTTGATTTAAATAAACTTCTTAATTTATGCTGAATCAAAGCCAACGTTTCAATGTATACCTTCATCAGGGCCTTGGACATGAATACTGTCTGGGTTGAAAACCACTTTTTGCACATTTTCATACATCACAAGGCATCCAATAGAATGACATTATTCAGTCATCAGGCCATCATCAGTGTTACCTGTATTGTTACCTATGTTTGCTTTACTAATTTAAGTGCCATCTTGTGGTTAAATAAAAACACACCTGGCAAAGAACAAAACAAAAAAATTCAAATTCCAGTATCTCCAACAAATTATATCTAAGCTAAATAATAACATAAACTAGATACACTTTTTAATAAGGTCCTATCTTTAAGCATTTTGGTTTGTTCTGTTGCCTGGATTGCTGTGTTTTTATGTAACCACAAGATGGCGCCTCAATTAGTAAAGCAAACACAGGTAACAATACAGATGACAGATGATAAGCTGATGATTGATAAATGTTATTCTATAGGATGAGTTAAGAGCAGTTGAATTTTGCTACTCTAATCTAACTTGTGAAGAGACGAGGACTTTAATCCACTACAAGGAAATGGCTCTTAGAAAATCTGTACCCTATCCTGAACATAATTACTGATTAAAAATAGACATGTTAAAATAACCAAAGATACTTGAGGACTGTGATAGGTGGAAATGGAATAAAAAATGACTTTAAAAAAATTTTTTTTTTATCAGCATAGACACCTTTATTTGACAGTTACGAGACAGGAAATGTTGTGACATGCAGCAACAAAGGACCGGGATTCGAACCGCGGTCGGCTGCGTACGTATATGCATTAAACTTTGCTATGCCACAGCCACCCCACACTAGCTTTGTGTCCCATCTTGGCCACCCCAGTAAAAATGTCCTGGATACGCCACTGCACTTGGTGGCTGCGGCTCAGAGGCAGAGCGGGTCGTCCACTAATCAGAAGGTTGTTGGTTGTTGTTTGACCGCATGTCGAAGTATCCTTGAGCAAGATACTGAACCCCAAATTGCTCCTGATGCTGTGCGTTGGTGTGTGAATGCATTAGTTTCTGTTTGATGGTTTACCATCACTGTGTGAATGTGTGTATGGGGCGAATGTGGTATGTAGTGTAAAAGCGCTTTGAGTGGTTGGAAGACTAGAAAGGTGCTATACAAGTACATTACCATTTACTGGGGTTCTAACTCTGTGGCCAGCTCTCTCTTCTAAATGATTTGTTAATTATTAACAAATATCTAAGTATATACAACTTATGCCATAACGTCACTATATTGACTTACTAAATATGTGCAAGTGTCATTCTGCTGTTAGCTGAGCTAGTATCATGAGCCACTGTGCAGTTGATCAGACAGTTTTGCTGTCTGATCAAACTTAATCTGTTATTCAAACTGGACTTCCTGGATCATATTTTATCATCTTACCAGTTCCTGAAATGACACGCCCTCACCAACACAGCCCCTTGCATTTTTTAAACTGTGCTAATTTCATTCTGAGGGCCTGCTAAAGACTGCAATGCCTTGACAGCCCCTCTGCCTGCCTAGAGACATCTGCTCTCTCGGTCTCTGCATCCATAAGCCTCTGACTGAGGTCCATAATCTCTGTGTCATCCCCCCATCATGTGAGAAGAAACCATGTCAGGTGAAACCATGCTGCTAGGACTGTGTATCTAACACATGTTCAGTTATTCTCATCATCCTGAGAGTCTGCTGCTGAGCAAAGCTTCTTCCTTCAGTGGCTTTAAGGGAGACAATCACAGAATGGTGAATGTGGCTACAGATCACAGCTCCCTGCCTGTATTCATCTTCCCAAATCTAACTACAAAAGATAATAATAAGAGATTTAAGTGACAATTGTTTAATTCTGGTGCTTTTATTGTTTGCCTTCATGCTCCTGTCCCACCTAAATGTACACAGTCACGCACCCACTTCAGTGAGTAAATGAGTAAGTAAGTAGCTATTAGCCTACAAATGGCAGAAGGAATTATCCCTCAAACACACTGCTTTCAGTTTGTTTAAAGGACAGAACCAGAACTGTAGCTTTCACTATGTAAAATAGTGGATTACTGGTGTCACACGGCATCAGAATATTATAATGAGTAATAGCAAGAGTCACCCTGCGCGCCCTAGAGCTCAAAGTATTAGTCCATAAATGAGTTAAAGCTATAAAATGTAAAATTTCATTTAAAATGTCACTAGATCTATGTTGTTTAGTTGTGTAATTGCATTCCAATTTTCAAACCAAGAGAAATCTGTGTTTTATGCTATCATCAAACTTAATTTTTGTTATGTAGTTTTGATCTGAGAGACCCCCTAATGGCAGAAATGACATACTGTACGTTTAATGAAAATTGATCTGAAACTATTTCGATAATCGATCACTCATTTCATCAGTTGCTGAAACATCCTTTCTGATAACATGCTGCATCCAACACATTTTTTATCTTCTGAAAATAACCATTAGTGCAGCAATTGTGTGTATAATCAATGTAACATATGAATGTCTTTGAGGAGAGACCAGTGGAGTGCAGCAAGGAGAACAGCAGGCTTTCCATATTCAGAACTGGTAGAAGCACTTACACATGGTTGAAGAACACTTTATACAAACTAGCTAATTTTAACCCTTGAATGGCCATGTCTTTCAAACTCAAGACGAGCCCATGTATAGTCCCAGCTGAAGTAACCCTGTTGACATAATGAGGACATTAAAGAGTAGTAGAACTCATCCTGTTGCACTTCTAATGATGAAAAAAAAGTAAGTCGGAGTGTTTGCCCCTCCCTCATTACCCTCATTACCACCACTGATGTACACTTGAGTGCTTCCAGGTCGAACTCTGTGGTCAGTTCTCTTTTCCTCTAGTGACTAAACATAACTCAAAATATATATGGCAGTTTAAATTAGCTAGATAAGATAAGATAAACTGTGTTACATGTCACAGTCAGACTTTTTGTCATTTCAGCATCAATGATTTTGCTTTGCCGTAGCTCAGTTGTTTAAAAAAGTTGTAGCCTGTGATCAAAAAGTGGATGAATACGCACACATTTGCTCCCCCAGGTACGTGCAGGTACTCTGTTTACTATAGGTCAGCATCACCCTTAAGAAAAAGTGTTGGATGCAGCATGTCGCCAAAAAGGATGTTCAGTCAGGACCACTTTTGTCAAAAGAACTTTTATTTCCAAAGCAGAACATTATATTGGTGGTATGGCTCTTTTCTAGGACCTCCTTGCCCTTCCACGTCCCCACGTGGAAAACCTTAAGGCAGGGAGAGCACACCTCCCTGCCCTTCCATGTCCATACATGGAAAAGTTTAAGACAAGGAGAGCAGCAGCAGAGACCCCCATGGAAACATACCAGGCAACCTCCCTTCCATCTGTTACATTGAAGTGCCAGTAGAGGAGCCAGCAGAGCAATTTTAGTAAGGAATAAATAACAGTCATTAAACCAATAATCTATGCAGACACTAATTTGAGTTACATAACTGAGGATTCATAGAGAGATATCTAATAATTTATGCCATAAATGTAT